TTAAATAAATGCCTTAACTTGATGCCTTTTTAGGCGACTCTCTTGTCGTAAGTTATGTAAGTCTCGGTAAGTACTTTTCCTGAAAGATGGGTGGCCTTCTGTCTTCTGTTTTTTATTTGTGTCACTTTGAAGAGTAATAAGCGAAGAATATTATCGCATGATTTATCCTAAGACTCTTTTATTGCTTGCTGAATATCTATTTCATTTTCAGTTAATCTAATGTCACATTTCAGTAACTTTCACTATTTCAAAGCTGTATTCCCTTTCTTGTAAGTTTTATTTCCTCGTGTTTTATCTTTTTCTCAATTATTACGCTAATATGCGTTTTTGCAAATTCCTTGTCCTAATTTTAACGTGCCGTTGGCAATTCCTTTAAATTAATAATTTTATGCTCTTAAATTAAAATCACACTTAATGTTTCATAAAATTTCTTTCTAACTTTTTCCAAAACTGATTTTTTTATTTTCTTCCTTCGCACAGTTTAATCAAGTTATATTATATATATATATATATATATATATATATTATTATAGTTTTCAAAGTAAAGGCAAAATTAATCTAAACTAAAACTAAACTCGGCGGCACAAACAGCCCATAGAGAGCCATGGCCGGTTATTGCCCTGATATCTGCTTTCTAGACCGTAGGCTCCGGGATGATTGCGCATCTTTGCCTGGACGAGTGATCAGCTTGTCACAGCTGACCCTCGGTGTTTGGTCCCCAAGCGAATTTGGTACTCATTTTATCGACCCGCTGCAGGAATGAAAGGCTGAGTCAACTTTGCTTGGCCCAGGGATCGAGTCCCGGACTTGTGGTGCTGCTGCTCGACCCACTACGCCACCGGGCCTCTCAAAGTTAACCTAATGTAACTACGGTAAATATAGAAATGTAATGATCAAAGCCATAAATTTTATTCTTTGGTTGTTATAATCAAAACAACATTTTTAAGACACAATAATGATTCAAGAGATATTATCAAAGCACGACTTTCAAATCCATATTAATTCCATGGTTTTTACCAAAAAACTCTTAATACATAATTATTTGAAACTCTTAAATGAATCGTAAAATTTTCGTCACGTCCACTATCAAAATTTTCGACATTTTCGTCAGATATGAAAATTAGTTTTAAACATGCACAAGATTATTTAACCGTGTAAGAGAAGTAGAATAATTTTTCACGTCTTTCTAATTCATGATTTCATTTTAGGCAGCACTTTGAATTATGTTAATGTTTTATCACAGCACAAAAAGAAATTTCACGTGGACCATCATTGTGGAGTTACATCCCGGTTATGGGGGTTAAGTTTAGCTGCGAAATGCATTTAGTATTACAACTTTAAAATATTTAAAAGAAAAAAATCTTTGTTAGCTTTACATGCAATAAGTCTGAGCTCTAAAATTCTTGATTCTGCCTTACATTATTAGTGTAACATGGCTTCTGTATCTAGTTCATATTATGCTTCTTTTCTAGCTAGCTGATCATTCAGTTTGACTGCCAGTTTAAACTGAATCGCCGTAGAATCAATAGCTCTATTAGACTACTAATTTATTAATATTGGGACAGTTTTTGTTTTGGCTCACAGCTGAGCGGAAATTAGCAAAAATGGGAGCACGTCGAAACGCAAACCATGATGTAAATTTCAATAAAAAAAATCTCTGTTTTTCGCTTAATATCGAATTCATTTTCCTACACGTGATATCTTTTCCCTAAATTGTACGGTTGTATTCATAATTGATTGTTTCACATGTAAATTTTGGCGGACATAGATGAGAATTATGGTTAATGTTCTTTTATTAAACTTAGCTTAATGAAACAATATAATAACAAATCTTTAATAACCCTAAAATTTGATTGATTTGCGATATCACACAGCAATTGTGAAACAATCTGATCAACTGCGAAACAATCAATCATAGTGCCAAATTACGGATGGACTGTTTTATGAAGTAATTAAATTAGGTAGCCAGTTGTACATGCGGTTAAAATTTGCATAGACAAAAGAAATCACATTGCCTTCATATTTTTGTTAATATTTTAATTTTTATTACAAACTTATTTTATTTTATGAATATAAATTATGCTTATTATGATGTTTATTAGTACTTGTATCATTCAAAGATATAAAGCAACTAAAAATAATAACATAAAATGAAGATAGTAAATCCAAGTGAAAATGCAGTGATAGAAAAATTAAAGCTTAATGTTTAAATTTAAAATAGGTTATAGTAATATCTGTTTTATAGCTGAATAAGAAAGTTATATTCACGTAAATGTTTAAAAGCCAAGTTACGTGTAGATATTTTTTCCTCTAATTACATGCAAAATCCTTCATAAAATCCTTGTTTGTGTTTCGTGTAAGTGTATTTGCTTAAGGTAAAGAATTAAAAAATTTTCTTTCTACACTTCCTATTTATTTAAGAAGTCAGGTACATTTAAAACGTCAAAGTACGCCAAAACTGTAATGTATTTTAAAGCTCAATATCTTTATAACTAACTGATATATGATGGGAGAAATTTTGTACATATTTCGATATTTTTCATACTGTATTTACTCTTTTACTTTATGTTCTAGATGTTTTAGATGAAATTAAAATAAAGTACCTTCTTCGTCACTGACATAAAATTGTAATATGTAATGCAAGCATGATTATGGATAAACAAATCACTATTTTCAGCATTTTTTTTATTCAAAATTAGAAAACTAATATATATAATTAAAATGAAACATTTTAAAAATAATCGAATTATATTTTCTTAATAATATTTTTTTTTACTTTTCATATTTCAAATCGACTATTTTTAACATGAAATTTAAAAGTCATTCCTAAACTTTTTACGCAAGAAGCTTAACAATTGGTCATTTTACATTTATATAGGATTTATAAATTTGTTTAAAATTTCTTGAATTCTGACCAACGGTTACAGAGAAATCATACTCACAAGCAGGAAAATTATATATTAGTTTTAGTCTAATTTTTAGTGTAGTTTTTGAGAAATCTGGACTTAAAGATATAATTGCTTTCAAATTCTGTTAATGCACATTATCATCTGATTATTAATAAAGAAATATAGAGTTGAATTAATTATTTAACGCTTGAAAATATGCATAATGATGTATTTAACAAGTATTGCATACTTAATGATCGTACGTTTAATTGAGTAAATGAAAAGTGACAAGTTGAAATTTCATAATTTCAAATAAATCCAGGTATAAAGTACCAGTGGCATTTTGGCATCAAAATCAAAAAGATATCTCGTTCTCATGGCAGTTTTCAGAAATATGAGCTTCCTTAGTGAAACCTCGAGCCGGTCAGAGGATTTTAAATGGAAAAAATATAGAAATGTATATTAAGACAACTTTGTTTCTAAAGTGAATTTTTATATGGGGTCTGTTTAAAAATAATTACATGAAATCGGATTTCAATATGCTGTTGTTGTTGCTACTAATCCCCTTGGGGCAGGAAAGCTTACACCAAGTCCAAGAGACCTTGCCGCAGAAGTGAATCGCTGACATCATCCTCCTCAGCCGAAAGCTGTCTCAGCGAGACCAGTGGATTTTAATAAAAATGCATAAAAGAATTTCGATTTTTGATTTATTTAAAGGTATCTGACTCCTCAAAATGGACTTTTAAAATGAAATTGAGGTAAATTCTGTTTACGTTTCGTGTTTGTATGGAGAAATTTTCCACAAAACAAAACGATATTTATTTTTCCCTGGCTCATATTTTCTGTGATCAGATATTAAGACATAGAAATGTCCAGAAAATTCTCTGTTGCACATTTTATTATGGAGAACTCAAGCGATGAATTCCATTATAATCATACTTAAATTTAGTTATCCTTGAAAAAAACTAATTGGCTTTCAGATAAATAATCTCTCCTTTTCTGATAGTCTTTGGATGTTTTACCATATTTAAGTCAACCCAATCGCACCTAAGTTTTAATCTTGGGGAGCAAACATTGTTGTTGTGGTAATTGAAATAAAGTGATTTTCAAGTTGCTAACATTTTCATGTACTAAATCTTTTGATTACTTGAACTTTTATACGATTTAAATGGCCATAGAATATTATAAACTCTAATATTGTCTAAAAAAGGACTTATGAAAATTATTTGCTGCAGTGCGACAAGTTAATCTATCATTCTTTTCACTTCTAGAGTTTCACTTGATCTGGTAAGCTTAATTAATTTAATAACCCTAATAGACGTGAAGTGAATTATCGCTAAGTCTGGAACAACGACAAAATCATGAGATGATTAAAAACAACCTTTTTATTTAAACATAATTTAGAATACAAAGGTATTCTTTTGTACCATAATATAAGCCACGTCTCCTAGGAATGCAACTAAATAGAAAAGTCAAATTTAAGTTTAAGGTGGAACCTTAGTCGAAGACTGCGCAGTTAATTTCTATACTTGAAGTTGTCTGACTACTCTAGCGAAACATCAGAATTTCTGTCTGCAACGATAGAATGCAAGGCCGAATAATTACAACTATCAGAACTGGCATCAGGAAACTGCGCACTTCATGCCAGAAACGCGCTCTGTCTTAAAATCCAGAAAACCTCAGTTTAAATACTAGGTACTCATTTGTGTTCTGGTGAAAAATACGGAAAGGAAAAGTTACAGTAAAGGCTGAAATTACATATAACTGGTTAATTACCGTAAAATTCGCTACACACTGTCATTCTAAATGTTTTAATTATCAGTAAATACATATTCAGTCACTATTTCAAAAAAATGAGCGCTAAGCTTATAGAGTGTACATTTCTGTTATATTAATCTAGCATACAGTTAATCACGTTCATTTCATGCAATTTAAAACTGCATTATATAACTGAGTTTATTCCAATAAATTTTCAACTTTTTTTTTAATTATATTTTTCGTCCTTTTCCTCTAAAATTTATTGCTTCTACATGTATTTTAACTGGTTATTTGTATAGTTAACCAACCAAAAAATAGTTGGCTGGGAGTTTATTTGCTCTTTTTTCTTCATAGGAAGTAACCCTTCGTCGAAACCAGTGCGACGAGAAGTTAGGTTTGACTCTTTGTTATGCTTCGCCAGATGATCCCGAAACAAATATATTTGTAAGCGAGGTAATTTCTTTTTACTTGTTCTTATATTTTGAATTTTTTTATAATTATAAGAGAAAAAGGAACTTGTTTGGCATTTGTTTTACCACAAATATCAGTTCTTACCGTAATTACAACTACTTTTCAGGTCTAAATGGGTGCATCAGAAAAAACTATTGCTAGCAATACAATCCGTCATTAATTCTGAAAGAATAAAAATACGCTCTAATGCATGGACCTTTTGTGCGCATGTGTCTTAGCAGGTTTGCGAACATATTTTACTCCTATAGAGCACCATCATAAAACTCAGCCTTTTTAATTTTATGTCAAGATTTAAAATGAATAAATAATTCTTAGAATTTAGATATTTGTTAATTATTTAGCATTTTATGACAATAAACGAGTTTTATAACTACTCAGGGAAGAAAGTAATTTTACAGGTGACGTAACTGTTAAAAACTGTCGATACCAAAATCCTATTATAGAGTCATTAGGTTTTTTTCAAAGCAGGAGACGTGAAAAATGCACATTGCGCTTGCCGGGATTCGAACTCTGGACCTCTGGAATACGCGTAGAGTATGTTTTTAATTACACCACGAAGGCAGGCAGAACGAAGAGAGAAAATGCCTTACGCACTTCCCCTTCTTAAAAGGCGACTGAGGATTAGGGGAACCAATCACCAGATCCTGGTGGGGACGAGTTATCGTTCACCACCTTTCAGTTCGAGTGCCACTTGTAGGGTCATCAAGTTTTTTTGAAGCAGATGGCCTGAAAACGTGTAGTTCCTTCGCCGGGATTCGAACCCTAGATCTTTCGAATACGCTTCCAATTACACCACGAAAGCATGCAAAAAGGAGGGACAAAATACCTTATAATGTTACAGATGCAGTAAAAAGTAGATAAGTTTTAAAACAAAAGTGAGATTTGCACTTTTTTTTCTTTACGCTTTCTACTGTTTGCTTCGATTTCTCCTAAGAGATGGTTCCTATTTACAGCGAAGAATTTCCATGAGCTAAGGGACACGCATTAGCTCGCGAAGTTTGTCTCGGTTATTGAGCTGTTTGTTAAAGTACTGCAAGCCATCAAGATTAATGCTGATGTTTAGTCCTCATTTCGTGAGACTGATCTTTTGTAATCTGGTTGTTCTCCACACTACTATCAGTCTGCCCCCCCCCGCATTTGCTGTTTAACGGCATATATAATTAAAGGAAAATCTACTTTCTTAACAGAAAATAAATGACCCTGACTGTGTGAGTTTAATGTAATTACAGGTTCTTTTGAATGTATGAATTAAGCTGAAAAAATATCTTAAAGTTATTCTAAGCAAACTAATTTGACCTTTTAACTAATGAATTCCTACTGAATTAATGACAATCAGCCTTTTGTAAATTCTGTACAATTTCGAGTTGGGATGACATATTGCTGTGTTTCAGATTAATGCAGCTCTTTCCCTGGCCTACTTGAGTTAAGATGCAGTATTGAAGCAACTGTATTTTTTTGTAATATTTATAAAATTTCAAATACAACTAGCTGAATCATATTAAAATTGCAAGTGAGGTCTTTCAAGGAGAAAACGCTATAACCATCGTGTAATTATTAGTTTAACAATTATTTGTAATAACAATAAGATATTTTAGAAATGCTTTTAACATATTTTTGCGTGCGTACCGGTTCGTTATGAATTGGATGCACAAGTCCGATGACAAATGAATAAGATTTATTATTATCACAAATAAATAAAACAAAATTCATAAATTACCTCAGATATTTGTACAAAAGTGCAATATCTCACAGTAGTTATCTTTTAACTACTCAAACGCTCAGCAGAACTTAATTCAAAACAGCTAGAGAAAGCTAATTCGCTACAGTCAACAAGAGCAGTTTTCTAAACAATTAACTACTAACGAATTGAGAGGTTTTCATGCCGTTTATATAAGCTTTTTAAATGCGCGAGAATTTTCTGGTATTTTCTCGAAATCAAAAAGACATATTTATTAAATGTTAAATGCACGTGCTCTTGTATTTTTAGTTTTCCGGCTCAGCTTTCTTTTAATATTCGTCACGCGCTGCACTGCACGGGGAATAAAACAATTTTATTTATAATTCTACTAACATTAGCTATTTATATGCCAAATCCGTAACAATATTTTGAGGTACATACATATGCTTTTTAATATCTTATTTTTAATATTATGAAAGTGTTCTTGGATCTTTCATTCATTGCGACAAGTTTTTCATTTAATTCTTTTGAGCCTTGAAATTCTGGAGAAGCACAGTGCAAGAAAGTTTTCACATACATTGAAACAAACAGATTAATATCCGAATTTTTCATTTTAAAAGTGTCATTTTTGGTAAATATAACATGCTTCAGAATTTTGTTCATAATTTTATTAAAGCATATTTTACTTTTATTTTTGTAGATTGAACCTGAAAGCTTAGCTTCAAAAGATGGAAGGATCATGGAAGGTGACCAATTGCTTCAGGTTAGTAATTTATGCGTTTGCTATTAAATATTTTAATTGTAATGTAAATGCTTATTAGACTGAGATAACTTCCAGTTTTACATTTTTATGCAGGTATTAAAACTATAGTTGTCCCTCTAGTCACGCTGAAGTTGGGTGTATCAATCTCCTGTATGTGATTGTGTTTGTCAATATCCCACAAATCCCTTATCTTTAAGGCAAATCTCTTAAAAATCTGTTATTGTCCAGAAGACTGATAATATAATTAGTAGATAGTACATATTTCATATGCTATATGCAGAGGTGTTCACACATTTTTGTAACGAATTTGCAAAGATTTATACATAAACGCACCTTAGAACTTTATTTTCTAATAAGTTCAGTCTGATAGCCCGTTTGTTGAACTATCATATTATATCTTGATTTTCAAGATAAATGTCCTTTTCTTACAGCACCAAGATTGATTTTATTCCACTCCACCTTCCAAATCTTCCAGAGTCCATCCAATGTTTTGGGATTCCGCTTTAAAAGAGTTGTTTTAAAAGTCCAAATGCATAATAATTCATAGGAGACATATCAGGGGACTTTGATGACATGCATTTAAAAGGAATAGATTCAATTATTCTGGTTTCATTTCTCATTTTTTTTTTCAAACATAGAGCAGTAGATTTAGAGGTATGGCTTGGAGAGCCTTATCCTGATCGAACTCAACATAATGACGATTGTTTGGATAAAGAGATGGTATACGTATAACATATTTCTGATAGCAATTAAAATTAATTTTTGACATTTTTCTCTACTTTCCTCATTTTAAGTTTTTCGTTAAAAGAGAATCTAGCGATAACAATAAAACCGTTAGAATTTTTTTTTCTCTGAACCAACATATAAAGTCCTTTTCGGTAGTAAATCGATATTTTTCGATTGCAATCAGATAAGTATAACCAAGCCTCATCAATTGTAACTAAGTATATTTCTATTTTTCACCTGCCAAATAATGTTCATACAGTGATCTGCACATAGTCTTACGCTGAGAAACATGTTTCGGCGTTGGGCAATGAATATCATGTTCTTTTGTTTTGATTAGCTATAAATCAGATTTTAGAATTTTGCTCACAGTGTAGAGACATTACGTTAATTTGAAAAGCCTGAGAGATGAAAAATGAGCAACCGCCTTCGCCGGGAATCGAACCACGGACCTCTGGAATACCGGCCCAGTGTGCAGAACCACTACACCACGAAGGCACGCTAGGAAGGTGGGAGAAATACCTTATAACAATTCCTACAAAGATATTTAATAATTTTGCAATAGCTCTTTGGGGGGGCTGGAAATTCCTTTAAAGCATGCGATGCGACTTGATATTTAATAAGAGAGCTGTACGTACCTTTGTCGGGTATGCATTTTTTGTCGTTTTCCCAGTCAGATGTGAACTTTGACGTTTCCTTTCACATTAATTCTATCACTTATTTTATGTGTAGAAATATTAAAACAATGCTTTTCACATCTTTTTTAGTAATAAGAGTATTGTTCTGGATGGTTTACTACAAACCAGACGCGCGTTAAAGTATTTTGTGAACCGTTAGGCTAATCTACCTTACCTTGAAATTAGTATTTGTTATGTTATTTTATTAAGCTAGAAGTGCGTGGCTTCTTGTAACCCAAGTCGGTCATTGTTAATTTTTTTTTTTTTTTTTTTTTTAAATGTTTGAATAAAAGGGTCTTATACACCCTTCTTCTGATTTCTGTTTTGTTTCACAAAGCTAGACGATAATTCTTCAAGAGTCCTTTTAAATGTTTGCTTCCAAAGAGGCACACAAAGAGACAGACTTTACAAATCTTTCTTACTTAGTATTGTAAAACGACTTAAAATCAATATAAGTGCTTCTTTGTTCACTTCTATTTTATTTTTAGTAACATGTTTAATTCATAATTTTTATGAGCTTTTACACCATTGGTACACTTAGTAAGACACATTTATAACGGTATATATTATGTATCTCAGCTATAGACTAAAACGTTTATGAACTTACTACACTTTTGTTTTATAACTTTTAGTTATAAAAGAAAATATGGAAATTAATCTTCATAAATTTTATATTAGAGAGTTTTCCGAAAATTCTCTGTTTTGGGAGTTTAGTTTATTTTATATCGAGATAATTTTTCTCAAATCTTAGCTTCGAATCCTGTCAACTGTTAGTTGTGAGAACTTTGAATGGTAGGATGAGAGAACGAATTACGTTGCAGTCGTAATGGGGATGGCGACAGCACATAGCTTGAAATTGTTGCGTCGCAACTAAATTGAATTTTCGAAAGATCACAGATAAATGGATGATCACTGCATAATTTTATTTCCGTGACGACTAATCTGTTAAGGCATAGCTTCTTGATTGGCACAGCAGAATGGGTGCAATTTGCACCCCACAATTTTATATAAAACGTAATTACGTTTTAGAAAAATGGTGGAAACTGGAAAATTGAACGCAGATGCTAACTAAGCGACAGTAAATGAGAAAATGACGCATATTACGCAGCTTTATTATTTATAGCCTGTAAATTTTTTGTCTGAATTTTATTTGGTGATTGAGCAAAAGCTTTCGCATTGTGGTTTACTGCACGAAAAGAATTATGCCAGTGACACAGTACAGATGCTTTGAAGGAGGTTGTATTTGAATTCAAATTAGGAATTTAATGAGCTACAGCCAATTAAGTTAGTAATTTGTTAAGAATTTTCCTTATAATTTTTATATCTTAATTCTGCCTATTTTAAATACTGAGAGGTTAAGTTTGGCAGACTTTCTTCTTTAGATGGCCCTTTGATAAAGCATAAACGCTGGAGTGGGATGAGCCAGAAGCATAAATATTGTTTCAAAGTAATGTTAAACGTCTTGCTGATTCTATTTCATGCCTAATTCTTCCATCCAGTTATATAGATCCCTCAGAAGCATTAGTCCCATGTAGCTAATATCAGAAATGCGCTAATGGGACAGAGGACTTTTCTTCTAGTTATTAAATTTAAAAAACATTATATATGTATACATAAAACTTGTAGATATATATAGAGAGGTAGTATATTTTAAAATTATTTTCTTTTCTCACTGAATGATTTCTGTATATTTTCTGTATGATATGAACTGTAACTAACTGCTTAATTTGAACATGCACACTTATTAAAATTATGTATTATAACGTCTATTAGGCTTATCGTTACGGTAAACGTGAAAAATCAACATGATGTCTTCGGTATTCAAACCATAGATCTACTAGTCGCGCACACTAGTCATTTACATCACAAGAAGACAATAAGAGGCTGCGATAATTCCTTACAGTACTACTGCTTCAAATTCAAACTAATTTGAAAAACATGAACCGATGTTTGAAATGTGTTATAAAACGAAGCAAAATTTTTTTTTTAAATAAATGTTATTATGATACTCGATTTAGGGCTAGAAAATTGTTACATATGTTTAGAACAACTTGAGTTTGCAAAGCAAATTTAACAAAAATGACGTTTTTAAAACCAAAATATAGATGTAATGTTATCAGGTTCAAGGTTCCTTCTTACCTTCTTCGGGAACATGCAAGGACCTGACTCGGAACAGAGAGCTTACTAAAGCTATGTTCACTAATTCTGGGAAGTAGACAGGATACACAAGAAGGGTATATAAAACCCTTTATTTTTCTCTATTTACAAGAACTTCCGTACTTCGAAATACACAGACCCGCCACTTGGGGTCTAACGTAAAATATAAAAATAGAACTAAACTCTAATTTAACTTTAAAATAATAAACGTGGAAGATTGGCCTTATATTAACAGGAAGCGTATGTAGTACAGAGAACTGTGAACACTACAATACGTTTAAAATTTATCAAGAGGATTAAAACCTCTGGCCTGGAAGGCAACAAGCAACTGCGTAACTTCTAAGGTAAGCGGCCTGCTTCGACTCACTGCTTCTCTTCTCCTCTCTCTCGCTTGGCAAAAAGCCACAACTTAAATACTTGGCGTTCGCCAGACAAACTTGCATAAAAACCTTAACGCTTATAATTCTGGCCGGAAGTAGAAAAATAAGAAGTGATAGTAAAGATTTAAAATAAAATAAACGTTAGTAAATCTTAAGATCCTTACATACTTCCCGCCAGAGTTAATTAGTTTGAAACTGAGGTCTAAAACGATCTTGTTGAAAACTTTTAGCTCTAGAATCTAACGCGAGGCCAATCTTTTACAAATATTTTTCGCTAGAAACTAGAAATTTAAAAGAAAGAAATTTGTTTTTACAATAGCAGCTACCAGGATACACAATTTTTTTTCATCTGTACTCTGGAAGGAAAACTAGTTTAATGAAATGTTACACAATGAAATGGCAAGTAAAATGTATAATTATATTTCTCTTAACATTCTTATTTCATTCATGACTATTTTAATTATCTCTCCCCGTGCTCTCTGCTGTTGTAAAAGAACACCAAACACGAATGGGTTTCTGTCTACGTGTTCCACACTTCCTCCTACAATCAAAACACTAACGTGTCAAAATTCAACATAACAAGACCTCTTAACACACCCTAATTTCAACTCTAAACCCTGAGGTACTATTCTGAAAGTGTCTAACTCTAAAGTGTAGCGTCAGAGAGCCTAACTACATCATTCAACCTTTAACACATATTCGCCATGCTTTAGTCTTTTTACAGTCACACGAATAAAAAAAATTTTAACATTCACTTTTACCATATCACGGTATTTCTTAACATTTAAAATAACAGTTCACATTGTATATAAGAACATATCAACATGCCGTTAATTTTACACATTTGAAAACATACATTAGTAGTACATTTTTAACTTCTATTCTTTTCAAAGCAAGTGCCAATTCTTTCTACATTGAAATACTACATTTCAAAAAGTCTTTCAGACTAAAACTTCTTTCTTGCTAGAATGTTTTAAATAAAATTTATACAATAACTTTTTACAATATTTAAGTCTTTACACAACGCTATTATACATCAACTTTAGTTTTTACGCGCGAGTAA